GCCAATTGCATGGATTGATGCTCATGATGTCGATCACTGGATTGTCTGGTCCAGACTTGATTATACTTCAGTCTGCCGTCATATAGCTGGAATATTGCTGAGTGCTGCGTGAAGCAACAAACAAACAAACAAAACTTTGTGAACATTTTTGTTGGTTCTTGTTTGTGACATAGAATGATCTAAGGCCTTCAAATGATTATCAGAGCTATTGTTGCACTATTAGAAGCGGAAGTAACCTTGTTCAATACAATCAACCACCCATTATTGTCAGAAAAGGCAAATAACGGGATCGGTTGGTCAGTCTCGCTGACTTGGTTGAAGCATGTTGTTTGTTTGTTGTTTTACGCCACACATTCTGGCTATATGATGGCGGTCTGTAAAAAATCGATAGGACCAGACAATCCAGTGATTGACATCATGAGCATCGATCTGCTCATTTACGATATGATGACATGCATCAACCATCAGCAAACCTTGTTATTTACAACAGCCGTCATAGAGCTTGAATATTGCTGAGTATGGCGTTAAACAACAAACAAATAAACAAACATAGTGAACATGAAAATCTGGCGTTAATTTTGAATTTGACACACCCGTTATTTTTATGGAATCTTGGTTTGAATTTTCAAAGTGTCATTGTTTTATTTTTGAACTTGTCATACATTTGTTTAAAATATGTATATTGTCATTTGAGAATAGAAATAAACATAACATATTGCACTTTGATGCTGGAAATGTAATGAAGTCATGTTCAGTTCCAAGAATTTCATGTCATGGTGAAATGTGATACAATCAAGGAAGTATTCAAGGAATGAATGTCATTGTTGATAACTCTTTTCTGCCCAAAATGGAAGGATGTCTCACGGTTAGGGAAGACGGAGACAGGGCGTGTCTCATGGAGTCACTATGTTGGATGACTCGTGATCTTTCATAACAACAGTTGACATTTGTTATTGTGGAAACTTGTCATTGTGGACACATGGGTTTGTGTGCATGCCTGTTGACCAGATTTCAGTCAGATATGAAAACTTCATCAGTACTGGAACACTATTTATTGGAACACCTTCTGCAATGACCATTGCTGCGACTCAACCCAAGTAGACTGTTGGTACACAGCTCCGTGGTCTAGTGGATAGAGTGTCTGTCTGGACGGTTTGATCCCCATCCGCGTCATACCAAAAGCCGTTAAAAGATGGGTACTTGTTGTTACCCGTGACTCAGAATCAGTAGACTGTTGGGTAACAATGTGTAACTGTGGCATGGTGTCTCTATAAGTGGGATGGTACTATGAAACCGGCTTTAGTCCAGGCTGACAGACAGACAGACCGACAGACACCCACCCAACCCCCCCCCCCCACACACATGATTCATCTCACACAGAGCTACACCCAGATCACCGTCCACCTGATATATGGTGTCAGCTGTGACTCTACCCAGGCCTGACTATTGCTACACAGAGCTACACCCAGATCACCGTCCACCTGATATATGGTGTCAGCTGTGACTCTACCCAGGCCTGACTATTGCTACACAGAGCTACACCCAGATCAGCATCCACCTGATATATGGTGTCAGCTGTGACTCTACCAAGGCCTGACTATTGCTACACAGAGCTACACCCAGATCACCGTCCACCTGATATATGGTGTCAGCTGTGACTCTACCCAGGCCTGACTATTGCTACACAGAGCTACACCGAGGTTGGCCACCGCCTGATATATGGTGTCAGCTGTGACTCTACCCAGGCCTGACTATTGCTACACAGAGCTACACCCAGGTTGGCCACCGCCTGATATATGGTGTCAGCTGTGACTCTACCCAGGCCTGACTATTGCTACACAGAGCTACACCCAGATCACCGTCCACCTGATATATGGTGTCAGCTGTGACTCTACCCAGGCCTGACTATTGCTACACAGAGCTACACCCAGATCACCGTCCACCTGATATATGGTGTCAGCTGTGACTCTACCCTGGCCTGACTATTGCTACACAGAGCTACACCCAGGTTGGCCACCACCTGATTCAGGAATGGGGTCAGTTGGGAATGTGTGTAGGCGACCCTTATTGATCAGGTGACATGTCAGGTGGGACCTAGTTCTGAATGATGCTGTAGGGTGATCTTAGTTTATGGAGTCACATTCTTCAGATATTACCACTGTGGAAGAGTTCATTTTAAATTATATCAAAAAGGATGATCCTTAATATTTTCCTTTCCAGCAAGTGATTTAGTATTAACTTTTTCCCTTTGTATTTGATTTTTTTTTTTTTACATATTTGTAAGGGGCGGTCGGGTAGCCTAGTGGTTAAAGTGTTCGCTCGTCACGCCGAAGACCCGGGTTTGATTCCTGACATGGGTACAATGCATGAAGCCCATTTCTGGTGTCCCCTGCCTTGATATTGCTGGAATATTGCTAAAAGCGGCGTAAAACCCTACTCACTCACTCACATATTTGTAAAATGTTAAGTTATTTGATCAACTCGGGGGGAAATGATCCTTTAGCTATAAACAGAACAGAGAAAAATAATACATAATCTTGTTTGGTTGTTAAAAATAGCGAAACAAACCTTTAATGTTGGTTAATACATTGTTATATCGGCTCTACCTGTCTACATGTAGACACAGGCCATCTACACTCATACTGCAGCCAGAACACAGTTGTGTGGAGAGAAGGCAGTTGAAGGTAGAGGGGCTGTAAATCTCTGTAATAAGCTGTGGACAGGACTGCCATGCAATGAAGTGTTTGCATTGAAGTCTTGTTCAGCAGAACAGTATCCTGTGACACAATCTGCGACCCCTTACATTTCTGGGGGTTCTGTTTGTGTGAGCAGCTCCGACTAAATGACAGGCATGTGTAGCTGCCGGATGTTGGGGGTCGCTGATTGTCTGTGTTCTGACTGATATTTCATATTGTGCATGTTTGCCTAACACCGTTCAGTAGGTCAACAGTTTTATCAGTGGTTTGATCTATTGCTGTGTTAAAGGGGTGTTGTGGTGTCAGTGTAGGGAGTAATACAATGTCCAGTCAGTGGTTTGATCTATTGCTGTGTTAAAGGGGTGTTGTGGTGTCAGTATAGGGAGTAATACAATGTCCAGTCAGTGGTTTGATCTATTGCTGTGTTAAAGGGGTGTTGTGGTGTTAGTGTAGGGAGTAATACAATGTCCAGTCAGTGGTTTGATCTATTGCTGAGTTAAAGGGGTGTTGTGGTGTGAGTGTAGGGAGTAATACAATGTCAAGTCAGTGGTTTGATCTATTGCTGTGTTAAAGGGGTGTTGTGGTGTCAGTGTGGGGAGTAATACAATGTCAAGTCAGTGGTTTGATCTATTGCTGAGTTAAAGGGGTGTTGTGGTGTCAGTGTAGGGAGTAATACAATGTCAAGTCAGTGGTTTGATCTATTGCTGTGTTAAAGGGGTGTTGTGGTGTCAGTGTAGGGAGTAATACAATGTCCAGTCAGTGGTTTGATCTATTGCTGTGTTAAAGGGGTGTTGTGGTGTCAGTGTAGGGAGTAATACAATGTCAAGTCAGTGGTTTGATCTATTGCTGTGTTAAAGGGGTGTTGTGGTGTCAGTGTGGGGAGTAATACAATGTCCAGTCAGTGGTTTGATCTATTGCTGAGTTAAAGGGGTGTTGTGGTGTCAGTGTAGGGAGTAATACAATATCAAGTCAGTGGTTTGATCTATTGCTGTGTTAAAGGGGTGTTGTGGTGTCAGTGTAGGGAGTAATACAATGTCAAGTCAGTGGTTTGATCTATGCTGTGTTAAAGGGGTGTTGTGGTGTCAGTGTAGGGAGTAATACAATGTCAAGTCAGTGGTTTGATCTATTGCTGTGTTAAAGGGGTGTTGTGGTGTCAGTGTAGGGAGTAATACAATGTCAAGTCAGTGGTTTGATCTATGCTGTGTTAAAGGGGTGTTGTGGTGTCAGCGTAGGGAGTAAGACAATGTCAATTCAGTGGTTTGATCTATTGCTGTGTTAAAGGGGTGTTGTGGTGTCAGTGTAGGGAGTAATACAATGTCCAGTCAGTGGCTTGATCTATTGCTGTGTTAGAGGGGTGTTGTGGTGTCAGTGTAGGGAGTAATACAATGTCAAGTCAGTGGTTTGATCTATTGCTGTGTTAAAGGGGTGTTGTGGTGTCAGTGTAGGGAGTAATACAATGTCAAGTCAGTGGTTTGATCTATTGCTGTGTTAAAGGGGTGTTGTGGTGTCAGTGTAGGGAGTAATACAATGTCAAGTCAGTGGTTTGATCTATGCTGTGTTAAAGGGGTGTTGTGGTGTCAGCGTAGGGAGTAAGACAATGTCAAGTCAGTGGTTTGATCTATTGCTGTGTTAAAGGGGTGTTGTGGTGTCAGTGTAGGGAGTAATACAATGTCCAGTCAGTGGCTTGATCTATTGCTGTGTTAGAGGGGTGTTGTGGTGTCAGTGTAGGGAGTAATACAATGTCAAGTCAGTGGTTTGATCTATTGCTGTGTTAAAGGGGTGTTGTGGTGTCAGTGTAGGGAGTAATACAATGTCAAGTCAGTGGTTTGATCTATGCTGTGTTAAAGGGGTGTTGTGGTGTCAGTGTAGGGAGTAATACAATGTCAAGTCAGTGGTTTGATCTATTGCTGTGTTAAAGGGGTGTTGTGGTGTCAGTGTAGGGAGTAATACAATGTCAAGTCAGTGGTTTGATCTATTGCTGTGTTAAAGGGGTGTTGTGGTGTCAGTGTAGGGAGTAATACAATGTCAAGTCAGTGGTTTGATCTATTGCTGTGTTAAAGGGGTGTTGTGGTGTCAGTGTAGGGAGTAATACAATGTCAAGACAGTGGTTTGATCTATTGCTGTGTTAAAGGGGTGTTGTGGTGTCAGTGTAGGGAGTAATACAATGTCTATTCAGTGGTTTGATCTAGCATTGTGTTAAAGGGGCCTCGTCAGCTCAGTGTAGGGAGTTAATATATTTAAACTGTTGTCTTTGATTTCAAATGTTTGCATGAGATACTAAATATTTACTTTTTATCTTTTCAGATAAAGTTGATGCCTCCAGATGAACAGTTTTCCTTTGAATACAAGGTGAGATTGTCCGGCTGTGCAGTAATACATACAAAACTGAAACCATTCGGGAACATTGGATTAGATACAATAAGATACAAGATCGCCCACCCACCCATCATTTCCTCACACACTCAAAGAATTATGAAAAATTCATCATAAGAATCTATACACCCGATATTGTAGAGAGGGTTTTATGCCAAGACAGAATTTTTTTCAGTCCTTGCTCCAAGATCTATCATTTTTTCTCTGAATTGAAAAGCCAATATGTCAAGCAAATCATTTTGTTTATTTTGTAAAACCTCTAGTTTAAAGAACAAATTGTTTGAAAAATCGTCCCCAACCACTCGTCTACACTACAGACTGTCCGAAATAACTGCCTGCCCGCCTGCCCGCCTGCCCGCCTGCCCGCGGCTGGTAACTTTTCTGGCTGCATTAAATATTCCTTCACCTACATGACTGTCTGGCAGATAATTTTAAGACTGCTTACATTTTCAGTTTGTTTTATAACTCCTTGTAGATTCTAAAGTAATTGATTGCATTATTTCAACTGAATTGAATCAAGATGCGATTTGTCTCTTATTTTTTGCATGTTTTCAATATTTATAATGTCTGAATGCGGGCAGGTAACTTTGAAGATGGGCAGGCAACTCGTATGGGTCACCTCCCCGACTGTCTTCTTTGGTTTCAAAATATTTCCAACACTGCTCTACAGGCCCTTTGCAGTTGTCCATGAGTTCATCGTTAGGCAACTGGAGTTGACCTCCCTGTGATACAGTTGCCATGTTATCAGTGCACCCTGGCTGCAGGAAACGCGTCTATGTCCACATTGTCTGGGTGTCAGATAACAGGCAGACACTCAGAGAGCATTGTTGCCATGCCCTGGTGTCTCAGGCGGAGTGTCGGCTGATTCAATACAACTTCCTGCTGTACATATCATGCAGACACATTAACCAGATAAACAGTTTGTGATGGAGATCAGGGGGAATGATAATTATTGTGCATGTGCAACAATAAACATCTCCTTTTTATGTATTAATTCAGAAATCATTTCTGGGATTGAAATGTAATGTGAGGTGAGGTGAGGTGAAATTGAGTTTAACGTCGCGTCCAAGATTATTGCACTTATATAGCGACGTGCATGCACGTGTATGTGTGTGTGTGGCTGCTTGTACTAGTCCGGACTGATGCCGATTTATAGTGCTAGCTCACTGAGATACCATGCCGCAGTTTAACATGAATACCCCACTCAGACACAGTATACTGACTCCGAGCCGACCAGTCCTTGTTTTAGCCCCTTAATGCCGAGCGCCAGACAGGGTAACAACAAGTACAATCTTTTAACGTCTTTTTGTATGACGCGGCCCGGGATCGAACCCTGGACCTTCCGCTCTCCGGGCGGACGCTCTACCACAAGACCACGGAGGCGGTCTGAAATGTAATGAGAAATGGAGGTAGTTTGTGAATCATACTGTGCACGAAGTGTGTTCATAGGGTCATGAATTTCAATGTGTTTATCCCATTTTGGTGTCCAAAAGTATATTGATTACCAGCTGCATATCATAAAGAATACTAGGTACATAAAGGTACTGGAGCATTGTAGGATCTCAGATGCCCGTGATTGTCGGCCTGTGGAGAATTATCATTTGCCTGTTCAGATTTGTACAGGCGGTAAATTAGCTGGCATGTTGTTGACAGCAGTGTAAGGTTGCACGCACAATTTCTTATGAATACATACTTGACAAGTAACAATAACATGTTTGTGGTCCAGCCATGTGATAACACAGGATGGGACAGGCTTGCTGTCTTGAATGGCAGTGCAGTCTCATTCATGTGGAGAGGGTAGTTTGAGATTTGTCACTTGTAAGTTGGAAATTTCTTTTTCATTCTATATGTATAAAAGTAAATGTCTTGTCAAAACATAGCAACTGTGTTACATTCCTGGGATTTAGAAGATGACCTATGCCAGTACCCATGACAAACTAAGGTATTTGGTCTGTCTCACCTGACAAGGGTACATTTCAGCTGTCACGTTTTATCTGGTAACGAGAGAAGCAAGACTAGGCTAAATAGCAAGCACAGTAACCTGACAGTAAGCAACTGTGGTCCTGTGCACAGCCCACAGGAAGATCAGGTGGAGTGTTCGTGGAGTCCTTGGATGGGTGTCTGTGTTTGACAGCCTGGCTCCCGAGAGTCTCTCAGGGCTCCGGTCCTGCCCCACACTGAAACACAACTTGTAGCACACAGACAGGTGGTGTTACCTTCGGCAAGGTGCTTTGTTTGAAATAGACTCACCAGTCAATGAGTGCCTGGTTGGATGAGGTCGCCCTTATGTAATGTGACTGTTTAAACCTTCTAGTCACTCACGAGCAGTTTGGGTTGTATACTCCTCAGGAAGCTGAGAATGAAAGCACACTGATCCATTGACCGGGGTAATGATAATGTAGTGGCATGAACATTCACTTGCTGACTGGACTTTGACGTATTATAAATGCACTTATTAAGATCTCTTCAGCTCCAAATCTATGGACATATAATTTTATTTTTTTTATTATTGAACTATACATTTATATATACCGCAGGTGACTAGTATCTGCTCAAATACGGTTTTATTTGATGCCCGACCAGTGGATCCGTTCGCATTCCACTTATCATTCTCAACTCCCTGGGGAGTATACAACCCAAGCTGCCTATGTGCGCTAGAGGGTTTTTACATCCACCTCACATATCGGGTACCCATTCCCTGCTGGGTGAACAGAGGCACAGGTTAACTAAGTCACTTGCCCAGGGTGACACCACAAGTTTTGACACTAGTGTTACGGGTGTATGTCGTATTCGTGTTTCCCTCATCTGGTCATCTACCGTCAGACGAGTGGGTTTTGAGTGCACAGGGTGTATGTACTGCACACTAGGGGTAGTGACATCAATGTAAAGACCTGTAAACATTGTTGGTCCCAAGGCTGAATAACAACCCGGTCACTGGCGGGATACGATCTCAGCACCTGGCGCTTGCTCAAAAAGCATGGCGCTTTTTTTCCACTTGCCCACTCCACCCCCAAATAGATGTCATTTGTTGTTTTTTCTTTGTTATGAAATATATTTGTCATTTATTGCAGTGGGACATTTTGACAACCAAAGTCCAGCTGATTGCGACAAGCAAGATTGTTTCCCTGTCTGCAGGAGAATGGGACAGCCTCACAGCTCTCACGAACGTCTACACCAAAAAAATATTCCATACACCAGCAGTAAGTGTACATGTGTTGCACTAATACTGAAGTATCAGATACTACAGTAATCTAGACTTGCCAAATATTATAGACTTATATGGTCTGTATTGGATATATTTGTTTCAGGGTCTGTATGACAGACTAGGGCCCTTGTTGTAACTCGTTATAAATAACAAGTTAGGCGTCCTTGATTCCAATGCTTCAGCTACAATCCAAGATATTGTTTTAATATGGAATCAGGGTATGAATTATCTCCATGTAAATTTCTATCCAATTTGTAATTATCCCCCCATCATATAATGCGGGGGGATATAGTGATCAGCCAGTCTGTCTGTCCGTCCATCCGTCAGTCCGTAATCATTTCCATTTCCGGAGCAGAACTCGAAAACCATTCAGTGTATTTGATTGAAACTTGGCAAATCTATCAGTCACATACTGAAGTAGTGCCTTTTGATATTTTGGGATTTTTCGAATTTTTATTTTTTAAAATTTTTATGGAAAGAAGTTGACATAGACTCCATTGGGGATGGGGTTCATTTCCGGGCAGAATTCGAAAACCATTCAGCACATTTGATTGAAACTTGAAAGATGTATCAGTCACATGCTGAAGTGGTGCCTTTTGCTATTTTGTAATTTTAGAAAAAATTAATTTTGCTATTTGGGAATGTTTCAAAATTTCATTTTTCCGTGTATCCATTGACACAAGTTAGACTTGGCTGAAATGGAGGTAGGTGTAGTTTCTGGAGCAGCACTTAAAAACTGTTCAACAGTGTTGAATCAAACTTGGAACATGTTTTATTCAGGGGTTGAAGTGGTGCCTTTACTATTTAAGATTTAGATATTTTATTCCTGTTTCCATGGCAAGAAGTTTGACTTTGACTACATCTTTAAAACTAATAGGTATTCTTCCATGAAACCATGCACACATATGACCAGTTTGTCATCTGGTGCCTTTTGCTATTAAGGGATTGTTAGAATTTATATTTTTTCCGTTTCCCTGGCAACAAGTTTGACTTTTACTGTTCATGTTGGTGTGTACCTGACATAGAAATACAAAGTTCCCAATCCCAATTCCATGGTATTGTTTTGATAGCTCAATAACTACTCTAGTACACTGACAGACAGATCAGATAGAAATTCTTCAATAAGTGGACCTAACAGGCAGATAATTTGTTCTTTAGAATTTGTAGGGGCCGGGGGGATTTGTTATCTTCTGATGACTCTTGTTTTAGAATTGACTTGATGGTGTCTGTAAAAAGACAAGTATCATATTGTAAGCTAACTGTTGTGATTGATTGATATTGAGGGTAGCGTATCATGACACAAGCGTATCGTGACGCAACTGTGTCGTGACACATGTTAATCCTAGGTGTACATGATGTAAGTCTCTACTGTTGTGTAGAATAGGTCTTCAGCAACCCATGCTTACCGTGAGAAGCGACTATGCTTGTCATTAGAGGCGACTAACGGGATCGGGTGGTCAGGCTCGCAGTCTTGGCTGATGCATTTCATCATATCCCAATTGTGTGGATCGATGCCCATGATGTCAATCACTGGAATGTCTGGTCTAGACTCGATTAGTTCCAGACTGCCGTCATATAGGTGGAATATTGCTGAGTGCGGCCTTAAACAACAAACAAACAAAATACTGTTGTGTAGAGGGTATCGTGTATGTAACATCTAGGGGCTCTCTGCAGTGTTTCTTTGCTTGTATAGGGGGCTGACCGATGGAGCAATGACATCTACTGTTGTGTAGAGGGTATTGTGTATGTAAGGTCTAGGGACTGTCTCCAGTGTTTCTTTGCTTGTACAGGGGGCTGACCGATGGAGCAATGACGTCTACTGTTGTGTAGAGGGTATCGTGTATGTAACGTCTAGGGGGTCTCTGCAGTGTTTCTTTGCTTGTACAGGGGGCTGACCGATGGAGCAATGACGTCTACTGTTGTGTAGAGGGTATCGTGTATGTAACATATAGGGGCTCTCTGCAGTGTTTCTTTGCTTGTACAGGGGGCTGACCGATGGAGCAATGACGTCTACTGTTGTGTAGAGGGTATCGTGTATGTAACGTCTAGGGGCTCTCTTCAGTGTTTCTTTGCTTGTACAAGGGGCTGACCGATGGAGCAATGACGTCTACTGTTGTGTAGAGGGTATCGTGTATGTAACGTCTAGGGGCTCTCTGCAGTGTTTCTTTGCTTGTACAGGGGGCTGACCGATGGAGCAATGACGTCTACTGTTGTGTAGAGGGTATCGTGTATGTAACGTCTAGGGGCTCTCTTCAGTGTTTCTTTGCTTGTACAAGGGGCTGACCGATGGAGCAATGACGTCTACTGTTGTGTAGAGGGTATCGTGTATGTAACGTCTAGGGGCTCTCTTCAGTGTTTCTTTGCTTGTACAGGGGGCTGACCGATGGAGCAATGACGTCTACTGTTGTGTAGAGGGTATCGTGTATGTAACATATAGGGGCTCTCTGCAGTGTTTCTTTGCTTTTACAGGGGGCTGACCGATGGAGCAATGACATCTACTTTGGTCATCAGAGGATCGCCAGTCTCAATCACTCGCTCATCAAGTTGTGTAAAAGCATTCCAGACAAGTAAGTTTAACCTTTTAAAAAATCCAAGACCAAACAAGTAGCATAATCATCTAAAAACACATGATTAGAACATAAGAACAGGAGTTAAGTCCCAAGGGACACAAAATTACATTTCATCTTGGTCGTTAATTAATATAATCTAGAGCACATGATAAGTTATTTTCGTATTTTTATCCCCCATGTATTTTGCAATATAGAAGAAAACAAAAAAGAGTGTTTGATTAAAAGTATGCTTTTTTATAAAGTATTTTCTGTGTGTGTTTTTAATGAAAGGATTTATGTCAGGGGTTCTGTTTTTGAAAATAAACCTAAAATCAACCCTGACAGGGTTTTGAATTTGTTGTTTTGCATTCTGACTTTTTGATTATTGGCCTAAAACAATAGTAAAACAAGTAATTTAATTGATCTGGCCTAGTGAAGAGAAATCATTGAAATCTTTAAAAAGCACATGAGTATGTTCTTGAATTTGGGGCATTTTTTATTTTCTCAACCCTACTGATCATTACATATAATTTTCAGAAAAATTTAAATTTTAATAATGTAGAGATAATGAATTGAGAACACATTATTTTTTTAGATTTCTCATGATTTAGCATGGCTCTTCTGATGTAAATGTTAACGTTCATCTCTTCCAGATTAGCTGTAGATGATGAAATGCTCAAGCCATTGATGGAAGGAGAGACGATAGAAACAGCACTCCGCAAGAAACGCTTATTTATCTGTGATTATGAAATTTTGAAGGATCTTCCTCATCGACCAAACTTGGTAGTAAGTATTTAACATTCACAAAGCAACATAGGAGTGAATGAGTTGGGTTTAGTAAAACACGTTATTGTGAGAGAGTGAAAATAATTTATTATAATAGATACTCATGGAAAATCAGGTCTAAAACAGGTTCTCATGACAGTTTGAAGCAGAATAGATTACCATGATAGTTTGAAATGAAACAGAACAGGTTCTCATGACAGTTTGAAGCAGAACAGGTTGTCGTGAATGTTCTGAAGCAAAACAGGTTGTCAATGACCGTTTGAAGCAGAACAGGGTAGCATGATAGTTTGAAGCAAAACAGGTTCTCATGACAGTTTGAAGCAAAACAGGTTGTCATGACAGTTTGAAGCAGAACAGGTTGTCATGACAGTTTGAAGCAGAACAGGTCACTATGGCAGTTTGAGGCAGAACAGGTTTTTATGACAATCGGATATAAAAGTTGACATTTAGGTTACGAAAATATATGATGAATATACAAATACATAATTCTATAACATTTGATGACATTTTTCAGTTCTTTTAGCAATACATGTATTTGCGTTTATTGCATTAGAAAGTTAAAGTCTCTATTGTGTCATCTTGCCTATTGTTCAATATTAATAGTCAGGGATTTGTACGCTGTATGTGCCACTTGATGTCAATTAAGTGTTCTCTCCAGGGTATATTTGTCTGGCAGAGTTGAATGTCATATTGTTTGTGTACATAATGGCTCGCAGCAGCTGAACCGCTGGGGGATAAGAGTAATCCAGGAATACATCTCCTTGTGACAGTGAATTTATTGTTGATTAATTTGTTTTCATTTGCTGCTTTTTTTTATTTCCTTATGCTTTGAAGTGTTGTATGACTAAGAGTGGGCTGGGTCAGAGATGTCGTTTAGTGATGAGTCCGCTCTTGACAATACTATATTCTACTTGCAGCTGTGTGCTCCCATTGGCCTGTTCTTCATCAACAGCAACAAACGTCTCGTTCCCATAGCTATACAACTGTTCCAGCAACCGGCACCAGACAATCCTGTAAGTTGACAAAGTGCCTTTGTAGGAGAACAGATACCGAATTCAGACATTGACGGCTTCAATATTTATTTCTTTATTTGAATAGTGTAGACCATTGGCCATGATATGAAACAAATACAACAAATGTGACCACTTCGAACTTTGATTAAACTAAATAGCATCGCTATACTGCTGGCACTTCTGAGATTATTTTGGGGCAAATCTGAGACTTTACCATGGCCATTGGTTCCTGGAAGCTATGGGTGGCAGCCATGAGCTGCGATTGAAGCGCCTGAGACCATTCAAGCCCTCTCTTTAAAAAAAGATGTGATGAAAAGATGTGAAAATATAATGAAATGTGTGATAGCAACAACAATTACGGATTTGTTATGATAAAACTGTCAAGGCAGTGTTACAGTTTACAGGGTGGTCCAGTAGGCAATGCATGCACTTGTCCGACAGGTATGGTTTGATTCCAAAATGTGGAGCCTATTCTTGTTGCTACAGCCAGCATTAAAACTAACATGTGGGTTCATTCAATGGAATGTTGCACTAGTTGACATTGGAACTGCCCCACCATGACTTGACTCTGTGAGTTACAAGAAATGGAAACAGACATTTCAGTGTAAAAATGAAAGATAAATTGAAGAGAAATAGTAACCCCAGCATGTATGTCGAGTATATATTCAGAGATAACAGAAACTAACATGAACAGTGGCTTCTGGTGTGAATTCCGCTCTCTAAGGTTCCAGTATTGAAACTGACCAAACCTTACACACCTGTCATTTGACGGATAACTGTGATAACCTTGTGATTGTGGTTTCGCTTTCTTGGAATCATGTAAAATAAATACAGTTTACCTACTGCAGCTGATTCACAGTTTAATAAAAAACATAAAAACAAATCATTTAAGGTCAGAATTTATTGACAATGTCGTTAAAAAAATAAATTACTTAACATCTGTTTTTATCCCGATGCAGTGGTAGATATTTATGAGTTACGTTCTTCAACAATTACACTTAAACAGCCATTTTGATGAGTTGCTGTTTTAATTATGGGCATTTTCACATGTTTTTTCCTCCATCCAGGAATAGGGACTGGGTTATATCTACATCTGCATAGTGGCCGATTCCCAAACTAGAATTAAACATTTCCAGATTCATGTTGTTAATGTCGTAACTAATGTTGAGGCTTTATGGAGGGGACTTGTATTTGACAAATAACAGGACCAATATAGACGAACAGGCTTTAATGCTTAGTTTAACATTATTGCATTCATGCAGTGTTAAAATTCAATTTTAAAATACCACTGAATTTAGGAAAAAAGGAACTTTAAAGATCCCAATTTGAAAGAAAAGAATGATTTTTCCCAAGTTGCCTGCCATGGGCACTTTGTTTAAAAGCCTATATAAATCCTTGAGGGATTGGTGTCGGTGTGATTGTTAATGTGAGTTGATGGTGTTTTAACAGGGTTATGTACATACACAAGTGAAGTTGCAGGGTGTACAGACAGGTATGATACAAGTAATGGACTGACTGTGTTATCAATGCGACATACCTGTGCGATATACCTGTGCGATATACTTGGTATCAACATCTGATATATATGCAAATGAGGTCACCAAACAGGAAATACTTTTAATAGATGCCATATATTGATACATTGTATGCATACTTGCTTGATAACCTGTAATCTATGTTCCCATATAGTTTAGATAAGGGTTTGTCAATGTGTGTTTGCTTTTGTACACAAACAAGGATAGAAATCATATCGCACTATACAATACTCTAGGGAGTTAACTCAGGCATTGCAGTTTCTAAAGTGCCTTGAACCTCAATTATTTATTAGTCATTAAATGATTATGAATGTTTGTGTTTCCATATTGTAAATATCATGTGGTAGGAATAAAAAAAAAAAAATTGTGTTATTAATGATATAAAACAATCTCTATTTATCATTATAAGTCGTGAAGATAATTTTGGGAAAAAATATATTATTTACGATATGGAAACAGTTGGCTAATAGTCTATTTATGATGTTACAAGTCAACTCATGAATATAATTTTTCTGGAAATGAACTGGTGACACCTCTCCCACCTTACTGGCCGATTTGCATAACCAACTGGCGAAACAGAGAGTTATATTTCATTTTGAGCTATTAGAAACAGGTATCTAAGCTGTTGTAACTGTGACACCAGACATTTTCTGTTATGTTCTGTGACCATTGTGCACTTGAGGTGTTGCAGAACTGTTGACATAGTGGTGTATAATTTGCAGTTGTTATGCCTAGGTCAGCGATATAACCCAATATTACACCACACCCTCTAATTGTTTGTTCGGCATTCTCAAATATATAAATCATGTCGTGTATTCCAGGAACTGTGCTTGATAAAACTGTTAGGGTGAATGGCCTGCATTCTAGGTGAAAATGTCTTAAGTCTGCCTTTTCAAGTTTGATGCCTTTCAGTGTTGAAATACAGCAGACACAGCAATATGAAAGAATCGGATGTTCTTTAACTTTTTTTGAGTAGGATATATTTAGGATTATACTGATGGTTAGTAAAAACAGACCTGTAGCATAAGAATGGTATTAAACACAGAGTGAGTGAGTGAGCTGGGTTTAATGCCACTTTCAACAATATTCCAGTTATATCATGGTGTGCCAGCTTGATGTGGGAGGAAAGACCGAAGTGATGCAGGTGTCAGACATTTACCAGTTTGGTGAACCCAGGAATACTGTATGGTTCTTACAAACCTTGTAACTTACTTGGGGCAAACTGATTGAAAACAGAAGAAATATAGAATATAGTGGTTTTTAATTCAATGTGGCAAAAATATAGATATTTTGTCAGGTATTAGTACCATTTTGATAACCATTAATCTGCTTTATAAATGAGCCAATACATACAAACACTTTAACAGAGCAGTATTTAATACACATACTTTATTAACAAAATAGGATACAGCACTTATTAATCTAATAAAAAAATAAAAAATAATAGTGTTAATTTAATAGGTAATATAGGATGAGAATATCATTTCATTCTGCAAAACTATAGAAAAAAGTATATGAAATAAGCAGAGAAATTTGACATGAGTTGTGTTATTTTTGGCCATAATTGGAATCAAAACATTGTTACAACTAAGTATCAATAGAAACATTTCTTTTTCCTTTAAATTTGAATGAAGGTAATAACCTTATATGGCCATTACCCAAACAGAAGCATCCGTCAGGTATGACACTTGTTTTTTAATCAATGAAGATGTGACGTTGACAGTACTGAATAGAGGTCATGGTTACAGGTGTAAGGGTTAATGTCACCTAGCATAATAGACTGACTGCCACTGTGTAGATTGATATTATATTAACCCCCCATCAGCTGGATGGGGATCATAACGCCTTCATTGAAATCTCTTCCATCAGACACTTTTATTGGTATGTGACTTTGATCTGGGCAATCATAGACAGTATGTACCGACATGAAAGGCCTCTATGGTGGTTGGTGACAATAGTTTTACTTCTTCAATTGCCTGCCTTGCCCCATGGTGCAGTTCCTCCTCATTCAGCCGGTACAAGCTCTATTGGGGTTTGTGGATACAGGCCAGTGGTTCTGAGTTATAAGGGAGATATCTGGTTATTCACCAGAGTAAGATATATGTAAATTTGTTGCTTTTTAAAGAAAATGTGGATTTTATTTGATTCTTTCTTGTCATGTTGGATAGATGTAGAGTAAGAAATGCCATGTTTCTTTATGTAATGTTGAGGTATTATTAATAGATGCTTGCCAGAACTGTCAAAGTTGATTAACTCTTGAATAATAAGTTTGAATATATCCTCCATGGTCGCGCGCCAAAGTCCAATGATCTGACCAGGAATGCCATCCGGGCAGAGTGGAGTGTCCCTTTAAGAAACTGAAGCTGTGAAGTAACGTCAGCCTTGATGCCAAGGTTGGGGTCATCCTCTGGCGTAGACGGTCCGCTAGGTATTTGCTGGGAAATTCAAGTTTTTGTGAACTTGTTGAAAAAGTTGCTGGTAGCATAACCATGAGAACTTCAATTAGTTTCATTAAGTATATATTTTACAGGAGCATGTTGTCTGTTTGTAGGTATTCCTCCCCACAGACCCCCCCAACACATGGGCATTTGTTAAGATGTGGTACAACAACAGCGATGCAATGTATCATCAGTCTCTCACCCATCTAGGTAAGTCATCGGTCTCACCCATCTAGGTAAGTCATCGGTCTCACCCATCTAGGTAAGTCATCTGTCTCACCCATCTAGATAAGTCATCGGTCTCACCCATCTAGGTAAGTCATTGGTCTCACCCATCTAGGTAAGTCATCGGTCTCACCCATCTAGGTAAGTCATCGGTCTCACCCATCTAGGTAAGTCATTGGTCTCACCCATCTAGGTAAGTCATCGGTCTCACCCATCTAGGTAAGTCATCTGTCTCACCCATCTAGGTAAGTCATCAGTCTCACCCATCTAGGTAAGTCATCTGTCTCACCCATCTAGGTAAGTCATCTGTCTCACCCATCACGGTAAGTCATCTGTCTCACCCATCATGGTAAGTCATCAGTCCCACCTATCTAGGTAAGTCATCGGCCTCACCCATCTTGGTAAGTCATCAGTCTCACCCATCTTGGTAATTCATCAGTCTCACCCATCCAGGTAATTCATCAGTCTCACCCATCTAGGTAAGTCATCAGTCTCACCCATCTAGTGTTTGGGCCTAGACAATAGTGCCAGAGACCATTTATGCCTTTTATTGGTTCTGCTGAAGCATAGTTTTCTAAATGCAGGCTGGTGTTCTTGGTGCTGTCTCGGACTGCCTGGTTGTGTTTAGTTATGTGTTGTGATGGTTCTTCTGAAGCATTGTTCTCTTGATGAATACTGGTGTTCGTGGTGCAGGCTTGGACTGCCTGATAGTGTGTGTCTATGCATCGGAAACATTTGTCAGGAACAGGGAAGGACATGTATCTACTGCAGAGACTATTGCATGAGAAGGTTTCTGGCATGTTTCCACTTCCTAGCATGTTGCAACAAGGAAGCTGTGGACAGACAATGAAGGAAACCCATTTCTTGTGACTATCAAACGTACCCAGCACATCCGCTTCTGTGAAACTAGGATGTCGTGTCATATGTTCAGAGAGTTCATTACTGTTTTTGTTAAGTGGTTTTCTGGAGGGTTTCACATTGTCCAAACCATCTTCAATAATCCAGGGTATAATATATCTATTCTTTTTACCAAAGTACCCAGGTTGGATCTGTTACCATAGAAATGTGAAATCTCAATCTCTTTTTGCAACTCCCAGATTTTCTCTCTCACATTGGTGTAATTTAAATGGATGGATAATTTTAATGGGTGTCATTTGCATTGGACTCCAAACAAAGCCATGTTAGTGAATGGTGCTGGGTATTTATCGACATGCAATGGAGCAATGATACACTGAATAAACGGGGATGTGTCAGAATTGGCTGTATGACCTTCGGTTGCAATAGCTACGAATCTGACGATGATCATGGCTTAGCATTTGGAATAATTGAGCCTGGGAGATATTTCCCTTGTTGTGTCAACTGTTTCATTGTAATTCCTTTATATGAATTTCATCAATATATATAAAGTTCATAGAATTTTCAGCACATGCTCAACGTTATGCCCTTTACAAACTTTGGTTAATGTCCCTTGGAACCAATCCTAGCCATTATTGATCCTGGAGCCAGAGTATCGCGGCCAGCATGACTTGTTAATAGGTTTTGCTCTGGACATGCATTGTAAAGGCATTCTAACTCTAATTTGAACCCAGTTGACATTAATCAGTCTTGCAGTTGTTTTATTTTATTCAAATACAACAACAACTCCAGGAATCCACAATTCCCAGGGCCCATTAAGCACGGTCAATACATTAAGCTGTTAAAATTTTGATCATTGACAGGATATTTGTTGGCATTGATTTCTGATGCGTTGAAGTTGTGTCTATTCAAAAATTAATCATTTTGGGGCATGGCATATCTGAAGTGTACGTGACTGAGCGAGAGTGTATCATTGATGGCTGGGTGTTTTCAGGTGGGCCGGGTTGTAACGGAAGGTAGCCGTAATGCTGTTCATGTGTATTGAGCAGGGATGGTGGGGAGTATTGACAGGCGGTTATTGTCCTGAGGGTATTGTCACCTTAATTTGATCAACGATTGTGTGAAGGCAGTGCTAGAGTTATTGTTGAATTCCTGGTACTTGGTCAATGGCTCATTGGGTTTTGAAATCACGAACATTATGGCTTAATCATAGGTAAACAATGCATAACCCATCCCTAACTAGTTATGCATGTTATGCTGTTAAGTGTTAAGTTAGATTTCATAAGGCCGAATTATTTTTTAATGTTTGTTTTTTAGTTCCCTCACTGCCAGACCACCTATACTCAATAAAAAAGGTTAGGGATCATGAACATGTTTGGGCATATTTTTTTGTAGTGAAAACTGAGCACACAATTTAATAAATATAAATAAATATAACCTTTTTTGTTAAGTATATTATCCATATGTGTCCCAGTTCCAGACGAATTGTGTCTTTTCGACTGATGAGATTGACGCATTTCCTTGCAATATGTTCTGTTAATACTTTTATTGATGTTTAGAGGAAAGAAATGCAATATTTTTCTTTTGAATGGTTGCAGGGTACACGCATTTGCTGATGGAAGGTGTCACCGTGGCAACACATCGGAACCTGTCTCAGTCTCATCCTCTCTTCAAGCTCCTTGCACCACACTTCCTCTACTTGATAGCTATAAACACGTGAGTATCCCACTTGCCGCTCCTGACAGTGGTCTATAGAGATTTAAGTTAAATCCCCTTTAACCAGTATACCAGTATATATCATGGCATGTCAGCTCTATGAATGAGGAAAGCACAAAGTCATAAACATACCGTACTTGACGTAATAAGCGTCCGGGGCGCTCTCAAAATTAGAAATAGGCGGCTCTTATTAGAATATTATTTTGGTGGAAAAAAGAGAGTTGAAAGATAAATTTCGTGGCTTATGCTGACACACTGAAATATTTATATGCATTTATATTGCCCATAATTAAGAAAGCATATAACACACTAATGCGTATTATACGCGAATAAATAAGTCTTGTTTACATTGATCAATCGTAAGGGGTTGCTAATTGGGATTGTTCACTAGTCATTATATTAGCAAATATCGCCGTGGGCGCTTATTAGAGTGGGGCGCTTATTACGTCGAATACGGTATTTGCCATGGGATCATCATGTTGGATTTGAACCCTTGGTCAGTTCAAGGCAAGGGAATTGCAGCACTTTATACTGCTGGGCCATATCTTTTAACCCCTTAACTCTTGACTGGGATGATACTGCCGTACTGATTGTGCTCAGGAATATAGACAAGTTTATGTTTTGACATGCAGTGTGAGAAAAATAGGCAGCTTAATTGTTTGGTTAACAGTTACTAGTAAACAAATTGATTTGATTTTAATATTTGATTTGATTCAAATATCATTTTTTCAGTTTACTTGTTTTGAATCTGTTGAAAATTCTGTAAACCGTGAAATAAGTCTTGGCCTTGCTGAAACCGGGGTTCGTATGTTGAAAATTTTGTAAACCATGAAATGAAACAGTCTGCAAATTCTGTAGACCAGGAAATATAAAAGACTTGGCCTTGTTGAAACAGCACTAAATATAATAATTAGTCTTGGCCTCATTGAGGCAGGGCTTAATATGTTAAAAGTTCTGTTAACCACGAAATAAAAAGTCTTGGCCTCCCTGAAACAGGGTTTTAAATGTTGAAAATTATGTAAACCAAGAAATAAAAAAGTCTTGGAATTGTTGAAACAGGGTTTTAAATGTTGAAAATTATGTAAACCAGGAAATAAAAAAGTCTTGGCCTTGTTGAGACAGGGCTTACTGTGTTAAATATGGTAATGAATACATCCTCATAATGCATGAACATACACTGGCAACAGTCACTCTGCAGATCAAACAAGGACGAGGCAGATAGCACTAAGAGAACAGTCCACACCTCATAAAAAAAATTGCTCAACAGAAATGAAATATTGCATGACTACATTTGTGTGCACATGAAAACGATATCCCCCTACAAATTGCTACTTATCAGGAGCTAATTGTTAGTAGACAAATAACCCACAGCAACTTTTCATGCTTTGTCAAAAGCAGTAAATCTCAAGGGTGGTATAAGTCTGTTTCATCCTGTGTGGGATCAATCGACCAATTAGATCCGGATATTGGCGTGGTTCAGGGAATGTATCTCTGTTGATTCAGCATTTGGCCAGTTCTGGAAATGACTTTACACCGAGTGCTGTAACACCTCAGGCTATGCTGACAGTTATCGTTGTTTGTTTTGTGTGGAGCAATTATTCTTGTTGTGGTATTAACACTATATGAGGCTGTTTGACACATGTATTCATAAATCTGTGATTTATGATGAAGTATGGAGACTGACATTTAACATGGACGACTGTCTGATGTGGGAACGTGTCATGTTGCGCATTACTTCTGCCAGCTCTAGTGACTTGTCACGTACATACAATATAGCCTTCAATAAATTATTTATCCACTCACAAATTCATGTTATTTGATTTTAATGTTTTCGGTCATTTTAGAAGTAAGATTCTTGTTGAACGTATGTTTATGTCAATATATTAATGTATGAATATACAAATATATGGCGAAACGCCCTAGTTGAATACGAAGAAAGTCAAATTGGTAATAGCAAATTATATTTGTGCTCTCCATGTAAAAGGTGCAAAAAGTTACTTTTTTGGTAAAAAGAATACTAGTTTATTCACAGATGAACTTGTTAGGGCAGATGAAGCAGATAGATAATCATGATCACGATCACAACTCCATGATCATCCAGTATCCACGACTACTGGATCTTAGCACCTAAGGGAGGCATCTCTGCATACAGAATCCTTGACCTTACACCAAGGACACCTATACCCCTAATTAATATGAAGACAACAATTCTTACACAAACTGCCTACGCCATAAAATGAGGCCATCAACATTGACCATCAAAAGCCATTGTCTGGGAACCAGCACCAAGTCCCTCCACACTTTGAGATAAGGTGGCTTGGTGACAAGTGTGTGTGATGTGTGGGGGAAGAATGCCTGGGTGAGATATACATTGGAAAGTTATAACAATCAGCTGACTGGTTATAAATGTATGTAGCAGGCTGACTTGATGTTATAGATGTGTCTGGTTTGTTTCAGACGTGGCCTTGAGATGCTGGTTTCTGAAGGAGGCTGGGTGGACAAAACAATGAACGCTGGCATTGCTGGAATGTTTGAGCTGATTAAGAGAGGGTATGTATAGGCATGTGTCGTCGTGGGTGTTGTGCAGGAGATACTGTCTTCCATGTATTTATCTCTCTGTTCACTTGTCACCCCCATGTGTTTTGATAACAAAATATTCAGTGCCTTTCATTAACAGACCAAATAAAGCAGCAGAGAGCAACCAAACTATGGAATCTGTACACCCTTTGAGTAGAAAAAACCCCACAAATTACAAACAGGACACAATCCTCATAAAGTGTGCATCGTAGTGATTAAAACCTGCCACATCTTCTATGGAAACCGGGGGTGGTCGGGTAGCCTAGTGGTTAAAGCGTTCTTTCGGCTCGTCACGCCAGAGACCTGGGTTCGATTTCCGACATGGGTACAATGTGTGAAGCCCATAACAAATTACAAACAGGACACAATCCTCATAAAGTGTGCATCGTAGTGATTAAAACCTGCCACATCTTCTATGGAGACCGGGGATGGTCGGGTCGCCTAGTGGTTAAAGTGTTCGCACATCAGGCCGAAGACCCGGGTTCGATTCCCGACATGGGTACAATGTGTGAAGCCCATTTCTGGTGTCCCCTGCTGTGATATTGCTGGAATATTGCTAAAAGCGGCGTAAAACCATACTCTCTCACTCACTCACTCTATGGAGACTGCAACAAACCGAGGTTGTGCATGCTCAGCTTGTGGCCTGTGTGGTTTCCTGTGTTTGGTTCCAGTGGAAATGTGGCAGGGTTTTAATCACTACGATGCACACTTTCTGAGGAATGTGTCATGTTTGTAATTTGTGTGTCTTTTTCTTTTAACGACCCGTGAAGATTTCGGGGTAGAATAGGTCTTCAGCAACCCATGCTTGCCGTAAAAGGTGACTATGCCTGTCGTACAAGGCGACTAACGGGATCGGGTGGTCAGGCTCGCTGACTTGGTTGATGCAGTTCATCGATCTCAATTGCGCGGATCGATGCTCATGATATGAATCACTGGATTGTCTGGTCCAGACTCGATTATTTACAGACCGTGCATATAGCTGGAATATTGCTGAGTGCGGCGTTGAACAACAAATCAACCAATTTTTCTATTAACAATATTCCATAATTCAGTCTGCAGAGTTTCTTTGGTATGTCTGATTGAAATAAAGTAAATATTTCCTGTCTGTGCATGTGGTTAGCTCACCTTGTTATCTTAAGGGGTAGTATCACATTCTCACCCCTCATGTCTTTGTATCACTGAATTATTGCCAGCCTCTGTAACTCGGGTACTTTTAAAATGAAGCAGATTGTCTCCAGCAGGTGCCTTCTTTTAAAAACATTTTAGGGCCCTTTGGTGTCTTTTTACAACTTTTTATGGCCATGTTATGTTTAGTCTCCATGAGGGTTCAAGGTTAGAATAGGTACCCTGCTTCCTGTTGTCATAGGTTAAAAAAGACTGGAAGGCCTCAGTGACTTGGTTGACTGCTTGTCGTTGTATATTTCAACATCAAAATTAATTTTCCTTTAAACAATGAAAACTAACAAGTTTTGTGGTAATTGGCAGAACCTATGTTTAGTGTTGGTAGTCAGTTATTTGACACAAGTTCCAGAATCTTCGTGAACACCCACTGACATTTGCAGTGAAAGTCAAAGAGAACATTAACCAGTGTAGTGATAGGGTTTCAAGGTACTTTGAGGAGCCTATGCTGCTATAGGTTAAACCCTTGTATCTTTTAAGACAACACCTACTTGAGAAACAGTTGGATGAAAGTATCTATATACTTTTTTAAAATTTACATCGGTTTGTAAACCATCTAGTAAAAAATAAATGGCCTTTGCATATTTTGTCACCACTAGATAATAGTAGTTTGAATATCAACCATATTTACTATAGTAATGCAAGAGTTGTCTCCCTTGTGTCCCCAGCCTGGAGCAGTGGAGGCTGGACGTTGATGGAACACTCCCTGAGGATCTACGACGCAGAGGGGTCAGTATACTGGGTTATTCTTAGAATCGATGTTTATGATCAGCTTTTTGAAGTATTACATGTATATACTCATCTGAGCAGGAGATTCTTGTGCATATGTGGATCGCGAGAATCTAAACCTTTTATAAAAAATAGCTGTATCCGCCCTTGTTGCAGTAGCTCTGCAGTAAACAGTTAAGAGTTGGTAAGGGTCTGGCCATTTAATATTCTGGGACCCTGCGATTTTGTTAAGAAACGAAAATGGCATGTCTACTAGGCACATACTGAACTGGTGCCATTTGATATTAAGGAGTTTTATAAATGTTTATTTTAGAATTTCCATTGCAGCTATTTTGACATGGCCTTAGAGAAATGTTGGGTCAGTTACCTGGTTTGGGACCATAACGTGTTAAAATTGCGGGGGATATAGATGACTTCGTCGACTATACGCTTGTTTAAGAAACGAAAACGGCTTCAAGATCTAATATTGTTTTCTATGGAAGTAGGAGCTGAACAATTATTAAACAAATAACATTTTTTCAGGTCATCCACAATGTTGCAAAATTACTCTGTTCCAGTATTTTCAGATTGAAAAAAAAAGAAGTCCCTTATAAACAATAAAACGAATGATGGTGATGATAATAATAATCATAATATTAATCATAATTATAGTTATGCAATTGGAATTCTGCAATGTTTTGTTTTCAGCTTGATGATCAAAGTGTTTTGCCTGGCTACCATTTCCGTGACGATGCTCTGTTGCTGTACAAGGCCATCAACACTTACGCGGGCAAATATATCAAGCTGTACTATGGTCAGTGCTAAGTACCCAGTAGAAACAATAAACCCATTGAATAAGAAATACTTAAAAAGTTATACATGTACATGTAGTTTATACAGTTATAACGAACTCAAGGGGACCACTAATTTTAGTTCATTATAACCATAGTTCATTAAGAGCACATATAAAGCATATGCACGGGACCAAAATTCAGTTTGTATTATCTGTCAGTTCATTATAGGCGTGTTATTTGATTAGTTTTGGAAAAGCCAGAAAATCCATATTCAGTGGGCTGTGTTATTTTGAAGTCAGATATTTGAATTATATTTGCATGTGATATTGTTTTGATGTTGTAGATTCTCCAGAGAAAATCAGTGGAGACTGGGAACTACAGAACTGGGGCCATGAACTGACAAACGCTCGCGAGGAAGGCGGCGTCGGATTACTGGTAGGTTGCTTGGTTTGTTGTTTAACACTGCACTCAGCAATATTCCAGCCATATGACGGCGGTCTGTAAATAATCGAGTCTGGACCAGACAATCCAGTAATTGACATCATGAGCATCGATCCACGCAATTGGGATCGATGACATGCATCAACCAAGTCAGCGAGCCTGACCACCCGATCCCGTTAGTCGCCTTTTACGACAGGCATAGTCGCCTTTTACGGCAAGCATGGGTTGCTGAAGACCTATTCTACCCCGGATCTTCACGGGTCATTACTGGTAGGACCTCCACAGGGGATTACAATGGAAACAGGAATAGCAAACCAGTGATTTAGGGCTGGGACAAGTCCAAATTTACTACCCAGGTACCCACCTCCCTATTACCCAACCCTACCCGGGTACCCACATCTTCCCGAGGCAAGAGAGTTAACTGACTTTAAAAGACACCCTTGCCGAACTAGGCTGGGATTACTGGGCTCGACCGTAGCGCCACCAGTGGCTATTACCAGCTATGTCCCTTCTATGCCTCTCCTATGGACCAATCAGATTCCACCACTCGTATCACTTGCGTTTGCTTCACACAAAATGGTGGCGCCCAGTCAGGACGATCTGATCGATAATCAAGATCTATATTGTAATAAAACGGGTCTTACATCGCGAAATGTATCAAATCACGTGAGCACATTGATTAAAAACATGAAAAAATTTGGAAAATATCTGCTGACAACGAGTTGGTGGTGCACATGCTTTGCAAATCCTGCAATCGACCGAAATCTGCAGGACAGTTTACGAACCGGATTTCGATTTCGGTGCGCGAGTTTGATTGGACTATGCATAGAATCGTTAGTCCAGCCAAAATGTAACTCCATAATACCAGCCTAGTTTGGCAAGGGTGGAAACTGGACTTTTAAAGTCAGTTAACTCTCTTGCCTCGGGAAGATGGGGTACCCACTGTAGGTCTCAAGAGATACAAAATGTCTGAGTGGAATTTTTTTTTACCACAGCACTTGCAAAATGTATTTAGATACATGTATTAAACGATCTGATCATGTATACACTGAAGTTGACGTAAGCTATATCTTTATTCAACCACATGAAAAGTGAGAAGGAATGGGTGCATAGTCAGAAAGAAATGCGAACATGACTGGTAGTGTAACCATAGAGTTCTGGATAATTTTTGTCATTAAACTATAAATCAAATGACTAACCAGTGGTTAGTGGGTACCCAGGTCCTACTCAGTACCCACCCGACCTGGGTACCCGAGTTACTCGTCCCAGCCCTACAGTGATTGATATTATGAACAATGTCTCACACTGCCAGATACGATGACATCACACTCCACACTATAGAGTAAACCACCCTAGTGGTGGTGACCAAAATTATTTCATTGTTTCAATCTCATCCTAAGACCAAAGACTTGTCTGGACCAATACTGAACTTGGGCACCTGACCTGAGGCCAAGGTCTCTGTTTAACGTGCTCTGACTTGAATTACAGATGTATCTATTTCATGTTTTCACTTTTCATGAGAAAATTGCATTGTTTCCAGGGAGTTCCTGGCAATGGGAAGTTCACAACGGTAGATCAGCTGATTATGGTGCTAACAACTATCATCTACACGTGCAGCGTGTCTCACGCGTCGACCAACTTTCCCCAGTACGAGGAGTATGCCTTCCCCCCGAACTACCCCGGTCTCATGAGGGGCGTGCCTCCGGTTGACAAGGTGAGGAGGCAAAGTACTGGATAGACTGCTACACGATACTGGATAGACTGTTACACGATACTGGATAGACTGTTAGACAATACTGGATAGACTGTTACACAATACTCGATAGACTGTTACACGATACTGGATAGACTGTTACACGATACTGGATAGACTGTTACACAATACTGGATAGACTGTTACACAATACTCGATAGACTGTTACACAATACTGGATAGACTGTTAGACAATACTGGATAGACTGTTACAAAATACTGGATAGACTGTTACAAGATACTGGATAGACTGTTACACGATACTGGATAGACTGTTACACAAAATTGGATAGACTGTGACACAATACTGGATAGACTGTTACACAATACTGGATAGACTGTTACACGATACTGGATAGACTGTTACACAAAATTGGATAGACTGTGACACAATACTGGATAGACTGTTACACAATACTGGATAGACTGTTACACAATACTGGATAGACTGTGACACAATACTCGATAGACTGTTACACAATACTGGACCGACTTGCACAATACTAGGTACTCTGTTGCACAATAGTAAATACACTGTTCATCAATACCAAATACACTGTTCCACAATACTAAATACACTGTTCAGCAATACCAAATACACTGTTCCACAATACTAAATACACTGTTCCACAATACCAAATACACTATTGCACAATACTAAATACACTGTTGCACAATACTGGATACTATCTTGCCACTGACATGGAGGGGAAAGAGAGTGGTGGTTAGATTGACTGAAGCATTTATAAAATATACATGAGCATCACCAGTTTACAAAAGCATGCAGAGGGTTGACTCTGGATGATCAAAAGGTCGGATGCCATGTCACATGTTACCTCATCAGCTATCAAAGCATGGCATACCAGGGACCTATCCTGCCTTAGGAGCACCACTAGAAACAAGAACATTAAACACACATAGCCATATTTCTGTCACAAGTGTGCCTATTGTTGCCAGGAATACAAGTCAAAGTTAGGACATATTCACATGGATGTAAACTTGCACCTGTTTTTGTTATTATTGTGATGTAACAAACAGTTAAATACCATTTCTTGAAAGTTTGAGAAGGAATTATTATTTAGGACATAATAAGTGCTGATATATGCTACTCAAAAGAAGTTAAAGAACACCTGTTTTTTAATATGAATACAGTTAATCTGTCATGGGTGGTGGGTTTTGCAACACGCAGCCGTCCAATTGTAGCCATTACTTGTTTTTGACCACCTCTGTGGTCTAGTGGATAAAGCATCTGCCCCGAGAGCGGAAGGTTGGGGGTCGATCCCAAGCTGCGTCATACCAAAAGTCATTTAAAGATGGTACTTGTTGTTACCCTGTCTGGCGCTCGGCATTAAGGAGCTAAAACAGGGACTTATCGGCTCGGAATCAGTATACTATGTCTGAGTGGGGTATTCATGTAATGTTAACTTACTGGTATCTCAGTGTTCTAGCATTAGTCCGGATTAGTACAAGAAGCCACCCACACTCATATGCATGCATGTTGCGATATGTAGTGCCAAAATCTTGAGGCCATGTTAAACCCCATTTACCTTGCCTCACCATAGCTTGTTTTGAGTTGTATACAAGAAACTGGTTTGGCAACCATTTAGATTTGTTTAAAATGATTCTTCCTTTGATTACACTACCTCTTTTACATCATAGCCACAAATCCTGTATTTTGTTTGCCATCACTTAATAAAATCTTTAGATTTTTCAACAGATGACCTTTTGACAGTCAGCTATCCGAACAAGTCCTAAGGGTAACCCTATCTCAAGCAGATAGTTTAAGCACAGTAGCAAATATTTATGACAAATATTGGTTATGCCCAATATTATGAATCTGCTGTCACCTTATAGCTGTTGAATAACTCATGTGTGACCAGGGACTAATGTTTTATGTTTCAGTCTCCGAAGGAGGAGAGTGACATCATCGCGGCTCTGCCTGACAAGCCCACGACCCTGGACATCATGACTGTCACCAAGATCCTCAGTCAGAGGGGCACCAAGAATCTCGGGGACTTTGAGGTCCAATACATCTTTGATCCCAAGGCCAGGGACATTGTTGATGCGTAAGTGTTGAGTCCAGTTACATCCCGGCATGTCAGCTTAATGTGGGCGGAAAGCCTGAAGTGATGCAGGTCTCAGACATTTACCACTTCGGTGAAACCCAAGAACACGGGTATGGTGCTGACAAACCTAGAAACATAATCGGGGCGAACCGGGATTCTAACCCACAATTATAGGTTACTGGTGTACCCAAGGGACGCAACTCTGCACAGCGAATTGTGGCGCCTTAGACAACTGGACAAGTGTTGAGCTCAGAGTGGAGTGAGATGGGTTAAACACTGCTTCGAAGACTCTTTGTGGTATGTCAGAGCATGTCAGACTGATGTGGGAAAGTGCTGAAATGCACAGATTGTTCACCACATAAGTGAAACCCACAAGCAAGGGTAAGGTCTGACAAACCAAGGATCATAATCTAGCAAATCCGGGATTCGAACCCATCACAAGCAGATCCTGACAGCAAAGGGAGACAACTCTTCAAACACAGAGAACCAATGAGAATGCCCATGCAGGATGAAGTTTGTTGTAATGGTTCATAAATTATATCCTTTTTATACTTCAACTCACTCAAATTCTTTTTCATTCTCTCCTTTTCCATTTTGTGAAAAGATTACTGACTACATTCTTCTTTCCATCAGTTTCCGTCAAGACTTGAAAGGAGTTAGCAAGGAAGTGAAAGACCGGAATGAGACAAGGAATCCCCCCTACATCTATCTGGACCCTGACATTGTGCCAAACTCCATCAGCATCTAATCACAGACTCTTCATACTCTTTAACGACACAGCTTACTATCATGTTGTGCCCAACAGCTGGCCACAGCTAACCGTTGATGTTGTGCCCAACAGCTGGCCACAGCTAACCGTTGATGTTGTGCCAAACAGCTGGCCACAGCTAACATTCATGTTGTGCCCAACAGCTGGCCACAGCTACCCCTTCATGTTGTGCCCAACAGCTGGCCACACCTAACCGTTGATGTTGTGCCAAACAGCTGGCCACAGCTAACATTCATGTTGTGCCCAACAGCTGGCCACAGCTAACCCTTCATGTTGAGCCCAATACAATGTAGCTGAGTACAGCTAAGAATTTACATTTCACTTTTACAAAGTCTGATGAAAAGGGACAATTTACTTCAGCACTACTTTCTTTGAATTTTTCCACAAGAATATTTCCTCAGTATCCTTGTGAGGGTTTTTAGAGCTATATGACCATTGAAGTGGTTGTTATACTAGTAGCACTTGTCCTGTTCACATTTTGTGGATGTCTACACAGCAAATATTTGACATTGTTGTCCCAGCATTTGATCATTACTGGATATAGTTGCGCCTTGTTAATCTGGACAGTACCATTCTCAGTAAAAAAAACAATCAATTAAAAAATCCAAATTGTCAAAAAAGTATGACCTTGGTACATACTGATAATTACCATTAAGTTGTAAGGAAAGTAGGGTTTTGGATTAATGAATTCCTGATTATGAAGGTTAAACTGTGTATATTTGTAGCATCTGATCTAAGCATTGAGGCTTGTGATTGTAATAATGATCATTACTGTCTTTAGTAAGCATTTATCACCATTTTGTCATATATTATATTTCATCCCATTGCACATGCCTCTGCCATTCCCACCATTACGTCACCTGCGATCTCCTAGTGCTGATGGACCATGCTGGATGTCAGGTCCTGCCTTGTACCACAGACGTGTAAGGGCAATGATTACGGATTAGGAGATTAGAGATTAACGTACTGTGTTTTTTATGTAAAGCTAGGTTACCTGTAGTTTTTACGTAATAGAATTTGAAACTGAACATGCTGCCAGATATGGCAGCTTTCAAGCTCTCTGTTGTCGATAAAACATGATATACATTCTAAGTCGATTTTTATTGAGCTTTTTGCGCAAAATGTATTGGCACTTTAAATATTGTAGTAACCACAACTTTGTATTTTGTAACCTATAATTGTACATATGATTTCAAAATGCCAACCAACAATGATTGAGGGAAGAACTATTCTGTCAATATTAAATTTAATTTTCTATTAATATTGAATACAGATATGGTTGTTGTGATTTGAAATCTCTGATTAACCCATCCAAATCAAATATTTGTCATATTCATGGTAGAATGGTAATTGATTTGGAAATTGTACATGCAATTGAGTAGATCGGCTTTACATCAATGTGCATTGCCTTTCCTATACTGTTTTCAACAATAACACTAATCAGATATATATAATTTTGACTAAATTCCGTTTATGTATCAAATGATAGTAAAACAATATTTATGGTTGCAAAATGTGTTTTAATATAGTCAAGATCCATGGAAATATGAAACAATAAGTTATAGCCAGCATATGTGTACATTATATTATATATAAATAAATAAGGAAATATAGAAGTTTGACATTGTCATTGCATTAAAAAACAGACAATTTTTGCAATGTCTGCTACATTCTTGCTTCATGATCCAGGTATACCAAGTGTACTGGTAAATAATTTGATGTTGAGGTGTTACGCTATTAATATGTTGCTACTGAATTGCTAAATATTTTTTTCAGTTACATCAAACATTTCTTTGATTATGACATCAAGTTCTCTATAGCCCTGTTGTAAATATTGATTAAATCATAGCATAAATCTTTTTCATAAGTCATTCAATAATTGTCTAAGACATGTAGATTTTCTATATTTATTGTGATAATCATTGTTCCTTGTCATGAATTTCATATACTTTGTCATTTTATTCAGATAGTTCATTTCCCATATTTTACAACTTGTAATGAAACCTGGCAGTTTCCCTGGCTACTGCTGCCATGACAATTTGTTCAATTTTATTTTATTTTATTCGTTAAAGATATGTTTTCATGGTCGTGTATATATTAATAATCTTTTGTGTTTTACATGTTAATGAGATGTAATGTACATGTTTTCATTTATTCATTCTTTTATATTTTTATTCTTTACCTATCACTTTGTATGGACTTGAAGAAAGCCTTTCAAAGCTAAAGCTCTCCCGTCTTTGTTCCATGGACAAATACGAAGTTTCATAAACTGTTTCTAGAACTTAATATATCTATTTATTATGCCACACCATAATAAATGAGATTCACCAATCAGAGAGCAGGACTACTGACCACATGAGCCTGTATATCGTCAGTAAAAATCCAAGATGGTTGATACTGACATAATATACTGTCAGTAACAGCCATCTTGGATTTTCCAACACCCACCTCACTTATTTCACATGGAAATGCTGGTACCGAAATTCCTTATTTGTTTTGTGTTTTACTATCATTAATTGTTATGTGCAAGGACATTAATCCGTTTTTTCGATCACATTCGTGACTTTATTGATAAAGACTATAGTTGAAATTTTCAACAAGGTTTGGCCTCTAAGGTTTGAAGAGTGGTCTCCCTTTGACATCAGCAATGGCTGTCAGATGCTTTGTTAGTAGCACCGATGAGGAAATCTCTGATAAAAGGCAAAATGTGCGATATATGGATACCAGAAAGTGTCAACTTTTCGGCATAATAAATTTGTTATGGTGTCTTTAGTTGCTGTATATGGTGTCATATTAGGTTAGCAGAAAAATATTGTGCGAGGAAGACACCATAACTAATGATATTAGCCTCATAATGTGTGTTCAATTCTTTCATTAATTCTTTTGATTTCTGCTATTTTGAAATATGTCATATTCTTGTTTATGTCGAATGTAGATGCATTTTTTATAGTAATGTTTTTTTTATAACATTGCTGCATTTGTTTGAGCTTATTATTATTTTGAATGACAAGTGACACTTTTATGTATATTTTGACATCTCATTACATTGTTTTTGTTATTGAAAATACAAACATTATGTAAAATAAATTTATTAATTTCTGTAAATGTTGGAATTGATTACTTTCGTACTATACAACAGTGAAAACTGTCAGATTATTTCTATTCATGTACTTTAGTTATATTCCTGAGTTCCACTGTCAGGCAAATTATTGTATGCTGTCTCACACACACATTAAAGAAAGCCATCGATTGATACCAAGAGGCTGGAAGACCTAACGTAACATGTGACCAAACTGTCACAATGGAATGCCTTATCTGTGCACAACAGCTGTGTTATATAACTACCAGTCAGGACTTTTGTGTATAAAAAAACCATTGATCCTAGTAACAGAATGATAATGTAAGCTTCGTTGTGGAATTAAGCAGCGAATGAAATCAGTGCTTGATGACTACCTTTAGCAGACAAAGGAAGTCTGGTAGTGACTCTTCTATACCACTTAAAAAGAGCTGAAGACCCCCAGATTCTTTCTTATTGGTACAGTCATGACAGATTAACTATAGTAATAGGAAAGAATCGGATGGTTCTTATCTTATTTTGAGTAGTATAGATCACAAATGTAAGAGCGAAGTTACAAATGACCATTTCAAATATTTTTGAAAATTACAGTTTGGGATGTAATTTTAGAAACTGAGAGAGGAATATGAAATGAAAGTTTCACAATATTCAGGGGTCAGTCTGCAGTCGTAACTATTTTCCCCACAGCATATAATGCAGTGGGATATTGTCATCTTCTGGTCTGTCTGTCTGTCTGACTATTTTGTTTCCAGAGCACAACTTGAAAACTGTAAAAGAATTTTCATCCAAACTTGGTACAAATATCATCCAGGGGCTGAAGGGGTGCTTTGTTATTGTTGGGATGGGGTGGGGGTGTCATGTTCCGATGACTCTTATGCAGAAGTTGGAAACAGATGAGAGATGGACTCAATGAATGAATCGTGATTATATGCAACTCCACGTTTGAGTGGGGTATTACTTAATATGTCACATGTATATTTAACTGGAGTGACATATCTGATTCTCCCTATCGACAGTTGAGTAGTATGTGTTATTAGGAACTGACCATTTCATATTTTAGTGGGGGCCTGATGTTTGTTCGAGACCATATACTTTTTCAGTTTTTCAAAACATACAATTATTTTTCCTGGGAAGGAGTAGCCAAACTTTTGTACGGGAACCCACAAGACATTTTTGTTTATATCTTTCAGAGTGTCCGGTTATTTTTGTATGTCAAACCAGTGGACAAATTATTTGTTTCAACAATTTGAGAAACAAATTATTATTTAAAAAAATAAAAGTCAGGCTCCCCAATGGATAGCAAATGGTTAGCCCCTTTATGAGAGACATCTTGAGAATTGTACCTAGCTATGATCGCAACCAGAGACCATATAATAGATTATAAGGTCTCTGTCGCAACCAACAGTTCCTTTTTGACAATCATTCTGAAAATGTATTGTAGGTCCTATTGGTATTACAAAACTGATACAGTTTATGTTAGGAGACAGACCATTTTTGTGTGTGAAGTACCATCAATGAAAAATTGCCTTCACCCGTGAATCAAAATCAAAGGGAAGTAACTCTCACTTGTACATCTGGTCTGAAGTTCATGTCGAACTATTTTCATTGTGTGTAAATGTCACATGTCATTAAGAAATGGCTCATTAGGTCTGACTAAATTTAGGAATTATTTTGGTATTTGTGATTCCAGGCAGTTGAGGTTAGTGGATTATCCTGGGGCTGTCATTGGTAACAGATCTCAGTATCAACATTATCAACCAATGTCAGGATATTGTGAAACACCATCCAATGATACCAGAGAGGCAGTATTTCAAGATTCACAGTAAATTTAAGACCCATTCATTAGCCTGAAGGTGGTGGGGGCGATGTGGTAGCCTCGTGGTTAAAGCGTTCGCTCGTCATGCTGAAGACCCGGGTTCGATTCCCGACATGGGTACAGTGTGGGAAGCCCAATTCTGCCTTGTTATTGCTGGAATACTGCTAAACGCGCCCTAAAACCATACTCACTCAAAGAAGGTGGAGAACAATTGGAAATGTCAGTTTATCCTGATTTCTAGACACGTGGATATCGATATGACATTATGTTTCAAGTAAGGAATATAATAAAATTACATTACATTACATGACAAACATGACGTATATTTATAAACCTTTCAAGGCTGATGTTGATAATAAGTGGAATCATTTTTCATTTTAATTTAAGCTTCTACTGAAGAGCAATTTTATGTTTTTTGGTAACTTTTGAGAATTACCTCCCTTTGGTTTTACCTGCGTCCAACACAGTATGATACGTATTAAGCAACACAAACACAATTTCATGTATCCAAGTGATGGTGTAGCAGGAATAATCTTTGACACAAATGACTTTAATTGCCATGGCTAAGGGAGGCAACACTTTTGGTACCTTAAACCATTGACTCCTAGGAGAGACAGGACAGAGATAATGCTGTACACTGTCTATACAAGTAAGGGAAGAATCAAACATAGTATGTGAAGCTAGTGATTGATTGAGTGAGTTGGGTTTGATGCCGCTTTCAACAGTATTCCAGTTATGTCGCGGCGTGTCAGCTTAATGTGGGAGGAAAGCCCGAAGTGATGCAGGTCTCGGACGTTTATCACTTCGGTGAAACCCACGAGCACGGGTATGGTGCTGACAAACCTAGAAACATAATCGGGGCGAACCGGGATTCGAACCTACAATCATAGGTTTCTGGCGTGACCAAGGGACGAAACTCTGCACAGCGAATCGCGGCGCCTTAGACGACTGGGCCACCCGCACATGTTTTGAAGTTTTATATAATATATACTATTGACTTACTGACTTACGTATTCAGAGAGACTTTTTTACTATTATGACCCTTCTGACCCGACCAACATTTTTAAAAAATGTAAAGAAATATAAATCAGATTTCCATTTTTGTCTCCCCGCCGATAGCCGCGTGGTCAGTTATTTTATTTGATATCATCACCTTTTAATAAAAAGTATATGAATTTACCATTGTAAACTAGTAAAGAAGCCGAAGATGAATAACCTCCCTTGACATTTGTCCGTGTTGTAAGTGGTAGAATTGTTATTGTTACAAGGGGCCTTATCGCCACAAGGTCTTTTGAGCACAGAATATGCTCATAAAGTATGCCAGAGGCTTTCTGCATTAAAAAAATGCATCTTGTTTTTTTCCCCTTCCTCCAACCCTTGACTTTGGGCTGAAAGTCCGTAATCCTAAAAATAAAAAAAGCCTGGCCTCATATATTCTGAAGGTCGAGACAGCTTTTATGACTTCCATAATGGAGTATCCATTTCATTTCTATTGGGGGTTGGTGGGGAGGGGGGTGTTTGGAAGATGATATAAATGAATAGTTTGTTCAGCTTTGTGCCCTTATGGAATAATATTTTTGGTGAACAAAGTTCGTTTGAATTTTAAATTTCAGTCTATAATAGTTATATTTTTAAAAATCAAATTATTGATATATAGACTATAACCCTACATTAACCCTATATATCACTGTGTCTTTGTGATATGTTGGTAGGTAAAAACTATTTTGTGGAAAATAACCAAATGTCAAAGGTTTTGTGTTAATAGAGACTAGGAAAAAAATAGATTGTTCTGAAAAAAAACCCATACAAATGAAATGAATACTCCCTCAGTTTATACCAGACAACTGGATCTCATGTCATACTGCTTAGATTACTTTATGAATTTTATTAGATTTAAAGTCATCGTATTAATATTGCTTTTGTATTTTTTATTGGTTTAGGCCAAGCTATTAAGGTCAAAGTACTAACACTGTGTTTAGGACTTTCATTTGAACATGCCAGACTATTAGATTTAACGTGGCCTGGCTTAGATACCTTTCATGAGTTCTAATGGTATATTTCAGACTAGGTTAAGTCAAAATGCTAAGACATCTTCGGCAGAGGTCACCCAGTCCGTGCTTTAAGTGTATTTTGAGATCAAAGCTCGATCTTTTGTTTGATGTCAATATTGATACACCTTTTTTTGAACTGACTTTGACTGGTCGTTAAACTAAGTATCTTAAAACCTTTTAAAACTTTTATATAAACTGTGACTCTTTTCTTTGATCTGTGTTAATGAATTGGTAGGTAATATGCATGTGATGCACCCTATTGTCTCTATTTGTCTCTATAAGCATTCCAATCAGTGTCCTTTGAGAGATATAAATATTCATCAACACACACTGCAAGTGCCATATCATTTACATTTAATTTAGAGTTCCATCCGATAAGGCCAGGAATTTATCAAAGATTAAATACAAGATTTGAACTGAAAAAAATCTTGAAATGATCTAATGTATGTTTTCTGGAGTTTGAAATGTAACAATTGAAACTTTGGCATAATCTCTTAAAGCAACTGTGTTCATCTTTGGTGTTTTATAGCTCATGTGTATATTTCTCCTTGCTTACAATCTTTATCAAACAGGATTTTGAAAATAAACAAATATGATTATTAAATACTAACTGGGACAAGTGTTATTCTTTTTAAATTTTTGTGTTGGGAAGATTTCCTTAATAATTGTCATCCATTGTATTTGTTTTGGGTTTCCAGGTTAGAACAGGGCACCACCAGCTTATGCTGGTAAGAGGCAACTTAGTGGATTGGGTGGTCAGGTGTGGAGACTGTGACTTGACCCGTGAAGATCCGGAGTAGAATAGGTCTTCAGCAACCCATGCTTGCTGTAAAAGGCGACTATGCCTGTCGTAAGAGGCGACTAACGGGATCGGGTGTTCAGGCTCGGGTGGTATAGCTGGAATATTGCCGAGTTCGGCGTTAAACAACAAACAAACAAACAAACAACGGGATTTTTCAACTATCTCACACCAGACATGAGAAAACACTTCTTTCCTTGACCCACAGGGCTCTT